CTTTTTGCCAGTTTTAAACGCTCAGCAGCGATGTCACCTCGCCTTCCCCTTATATTTCCCATTAGCAAGAAAAGAAGAATTTCAATTATAGCGGTTAAAAGTTGAAAAATAACTTTCCGAAGTAGATATCTCAAGGCTCCTAGTTATGAAGAAGAAATAAAAACTCTTTGTAAGTTTTCTTGAAATCTTAATTGTTTAAAGAAAATTTAATTTATTATTAAAATTTTTACATTGACTGGAATAGAATGCCCATCTTTGCCTCAAAATTACTTCCTCGTATCAACCTGCTCTTATAGAAGCATTTACGCATACTGATAGTCTGTGTTCTTAACGCTTGGTTTGCTGTCGTTAGAATTTTTTAACCTATTTGAAGACAACAACAACAACAAAAAAAAGCAGCAAAATGGAGAAAAAGTTTGCATAAATGCGTATAACACAACACATGATAGTTATAGCCTTGTGTTTATGTTTGTTTTCTGCTTTTCAGTAACTTTCAGATCCTGAGGTTATGTTAAGTGCTGTAGACAAGACCAATTTGCATGAATATGTGCATACGCTTATATAGAAGTCTAGTCATATGTATACACTTTTCATATTATCCATATGCATCGCCGTTATAATAAGAAAAACACATGTGTGCTCCTGAAAGTTATTTGTTTTAAATTTAAATAACAATATGCATGGGTGCGAAGTTCGCAAAAGTTAAGTTTGTTTTTATTTATTTATTTATTTATTTTTTTTTTTGTTTGTTATAAAAATCCTTTTTTAATAAATTATTAATAGATTTAAAGTTATGCAGCACACACTACACGTACAGGCATAACACGTCTTTTGTGCAATAGAGATATTCCCTCGCGTCTTTTATATAAAGATTTTCTAAGCTTTGAATTGTTTCACATGAAATCGTTAAAAAAAAAACAAAAAAATTGGATAAAACCGAACAATTTTTTAATGTCCGAAAATGCTTATTGTTATTCATTTCTGAAATCTTCCTTTTGTTACATTTAAATAAGATGGAGTTATACATGAATGTCTATTGTTTCTGGCGCATCCTATAGATGTACGGCTGGAAAGTCCCTCTGAATTTTTGATTAACGTAAGGTGTGTTGAAGTATGTAAGCATATCTGTTTACTCTTAGGTGGTTTCTCACGTTGCCAAGATTGATGGCGCCAGAAAGAATAAAGCGAATTGGGCGTAATTCACTTTTGAAAACGGTTGAGATAAAAAGTTTTTCGATTCATGCTAGAATAAAAAATTCCTGTAAAACATGTATTTTGAAGTACCCGCGAATTAAATTAGGTTTTCGCAAAACGTTTTCAAGTTTTCATAAAACATTTCCGAGAATGAAATTAAGAAATAAAATTATTTTGGGATACGTGTTAGAAGAGAAAATTCGTGTAAAAAGATATATGGGGGAAGCGAGTTATTCGAAAATGGTGTAAAAAAAGGGGCGTATAAAAAAATAGCGTGTAAAAAGGAGCGTTTAAAAAAATAGCGTATAAAAAAGGACTGGCAGTACAACAAACAAGTACAAGGCTTTACAGTTAAATATTAATAGCTATAACAGCTCCTCCACCACAACTATAGTAGTAAGGAAGAGAACAAAGGTTAAATGGAATATTTAAATTAAATCCCCTGCTTTAAAACTCTGTTCTTCGACCCACGAGTTAAGTATTTTCATTTCAGCAGTGAGTGAAAGAAGATGCACTTGGAAGAGACATACCATCAATAAATACTTTTATTTTTCTTTCTTTTTTTTTTTTTAAGTAAAGTGCGAATTGCTTTTCGTTGTGAGTGGCATTTGTGAAATATTTTGCTCAAGTTGAATGGACATTCAGTTTCCTTCAAGATATACGCGAAATAGCATTAAACTAAACCTTCGGATAGCAATCAATCCGGTCATAAGTCAAATTCAACATTTGATAGCACAAATTGTAAAACATAAGCATTGCGTGTAATTATAAAAAACAATAACATCAATAAAAATTTCATTGTTCTCTATATTTTAAAATACAACGATTAGAACTGTCCGAAGGAAACAATTCATTTCTAACCGCGCATGAGTTAAACTTTAGTTTAGAAAAAGAATGCACTTCTAGTCAATAAAATGTTAAACTTTTCTTATCGTTTGCTGTTTATTGCGTCATTTGGTTTTTGTGAAATATTTTCTGGAGCACTGCGTAAGTCGACTAGAATTTATGCAAAAATAAAGTTGTCCTTAGAAAAATTTCCTGCTTTGTATAGCTGCTTCTATAAACGAAGTACTTCGCCTATAGCCTAAAGGCTCGGCGGCTTTTGGCCTGCCAGATATGTCCCGTTTAACTCAAGCCAAAGTTGAACTTGGAGAAAACGGTGGTCAAACTTTGGCTTTAAAAAGGGGACTTCAATTTTCATAACTTCGCTGTAAATGGTTTTGAAAAAGCCAAAGTTTTTAACGTTTCCGGCTTTGATTCAGACTTCAAAAAAGTTACAGTTAATTTGGAAGTTCCTTTGTTAAAAATTTGCCGCTGATTACATGATAAATGGTAAAATTTTATTTATGATTGTAAAGGGCAAAGGTCACCCTGATATTCATTTGAAAAACGTTACAAATAAAATCATCGTGAACGTAGGTCTAGAAAGGAAACAAGGCCAAACCTTTGTAATAGTCAAAGATGTTATATGTGATTTTCAGCCCCAAGAGTAAGTTTAAAATTAAATTTCAAAATGCAACTCTACAATTTTGATGAATTCCCTTTAATATTCTATTTATAGTGTCTTTGTCCATTTTGATAGTTTGTTCGACGGTAATAAGGAACTAACGGAGAGTATCAATAAAGTAGTAAATACTAATTGGCGCGAATTCCATTCAACATTGAGAGACAATATCATTGGAGCTTTCTCTCAAGCTATTCTTAATGTTTTAAGGAACGTTGTCTTATGATGAGTTTTATTTAAATTAAAATTTTCTAATTGTAACATAAATACTCTTGATGATGATTTATCGCCTTGAAAGAGAAATAAATTCATGCATTATTTATCCATATTCTCTAGCAATTTATTGTTAGGTTTAAATATACCTCAACATGAGAAGGCAATTATTATACAATATGTGACCGGAGCAGTAAGAGGTTATGATGTTAATTACTTTCTTGACAAAAGACTTACGTGTGGCTAGTCAAACAGAAGGTATAATATAACGCTAAATTCATATTGTTGCCAATTGTCTACACTCCAGTTTCGCTTCAGTTTCAAATTAAGTTTTTAAAGAATTTTAAATCAAATAACATCTGCAACATATGCATTTAAGGCTGACCAAAATAAAATACTATGCAAAGCCACATAAAGCGATGTGAGGTTATCAACTTGCTATTACATAGCTATACACTTAAGGGTTAAGTTTGCGCGGATATACACAACAAACAGGAGAACATTAGATAAATCCACATTTTATTACACCTATCGATTTGGGAGCACTATCTGAATCTATCCAAGTCAATTTGTGAATCGATTATCCATCTGTAGCTTATATGTACTTGTGTGTTGAGCTTATAGATCACAACTTTTAAGATATTTTGCTGACACGTTTTGGCCCAGGTTGACACTTTGTTAATAACCAATTTTTTTTTTATATTTACGTTTACTTACGCTTATCATTTTTATAAAGCAATGCTTCGATCTGTACTTAGCTACTAGAACTTTACCACTTTCTATTGGATGTCCGCTTGTTTTATAAGATATTGTCCTTGTTAACCTCGGTAACATTTTTGTCTTCAACTGTTTGTTCATGTTATCTCAAATTTTCAGCTATTGAAAATGGTTCGGATAAGATAAGTTATCCGACCGCTTCCCATACAACAATTTATTTTGGAATAATTGCAAGGTGGGGCATGGTATTTAACAGTGGGCCATGGCCCACTATAATGTGCTTACTTGTTTTGTTCAAAGACATATTTCCGATCATTTCGGCTCAATAAATTTGATTTTAACATTTTGTCAAGAGTCTGAAGGAATTTCCTTCCTCTTAGATTGTCTCAATGTAGGACTAATAAGGAACTGTTATTTCCTTGCCGCGTGTCATGTTTATTCGAGTAGTTATGAAAATCGGCGCTTTTCACCTAGCCCCACTAAGAGTAAGGAAAGTCTCTATACCATTGAATTCGTCATAAGGCGAATCTGGGAAACTTACAATATCAACCATAGCTTAGTTTTCTGTTAATACTTTTTGTCTCATATTCAATTCACACACGTTGTAATGTAAACAACTCTCATTACATAAGCGGTCTTACAGAATTATGTACTATGTACTAGACTGCGTTTTTCTTGTTCTGCATAGTCTTCTTCTTCTCTGCTTTCCATAATCCATCTAAATTATTTTTCCTTAAAACGTTAGTTTGTATTGCTAACATTTTATGTGCAAATAAAAAATTGATAATCACTCGGGCTATGCCACTTATTCGATAATAGTCAGAAAGAAATTAAAAAGAGAAAAAGATAGGCAGCCGTTGCAGACTAGTGAGTGAATGCCCAACAGGTACAAAAAAAAAAAAAAAAAAAAAAAAAAAAAAAAAAAAAAAAAAAAAAACACAGCTACAGCTATCGATCACTGCACACTCGTTTCTGAAATTATAAAGGGATTGTTAACGATGAGAGGGATTGAAAAGGAAGGGGCTTCAGTGCTAAATATACTACAGGCGTTTGAAAGGGCATGCCTTTGTGCTGCCAGCTATCTACCTATCTACGACGTTTATATTGTGCAAATGTATACCAATGAAAGGGTCTTTTCGCTCACAACGCTTTCAAAATTTAAGTAAACATTCTTTTTGAAGGTAATGCCACTTATAGAATCAATTGTAAAGCTTATAATTGCTTTTGAGAATTAACAATTTCTAACAGTTCTAAACTGGTTTTTGTATTCAATAACAAATCTATAAACAAGTAAGTAATAGAGAGAAACATTGATAGAGAACGAGAAATTGTGTAATTAATATCCATCAGCTTAAAAATCACACATCACTACTTTGCAATATTTACGCATTTCCGTTCCAGCTGCGAGTGAGACAAGGTTCATTGTGTAAAGTGAAGCGCTTTTCTTTTGCTTATAAAATCGTATTCAGTTAAAAAAAAAAACAAAAACAAAGAAGGAATTATGTGTAAAATAACTTATTTTTTCCTCTTTGGTATGCTTGCTCTGAATGGCATTGGCGAATCATTTTGTGGATCGTTGCGTAAGCGTTGATGCGATCAATTCCATGCGATTGTTTGAAAAAATCTTACATATCTTCTTCTATTCTTTCAGCCTCCGATATACCAAAATGTAAAATTTCGGATAATGTTTGTATAGCTTCGTCTATGAACGAGGCGCTCCGCCTTTATCCCAAAGGTTCGCCAGCTTTTGATTTGGCCGATCTGTCGCGTATATTTGTACCTAAAGTTGAACTTGGAAATGCTGCCGGCCATTCGTCGGCCGTTCAATTGAATTTAATTTTTCTGAATTCAACTACAAGCGGCTTAGAAAAAGCAAAAGTAGTTAATGTTTCTGGTTTCGATCCAGATATTAAGCAAATTATAGTTAACCTTGAAGTTCCATTTATGAAACTTGAAACCGAATACGAAATGGATGGTAAAATTTTATTCTTAACCTTAAAGGGCAAAGGTCATGCAGAAATACATTTGAAAATGGCTACTAATAGAGTGACAATCAACGTAGGTTTGGAGAAGAGAAATGGTAAAACTCATCTAATTGTTAAGGACATGACGTGTGATTTTCGACCGCAAGGGTGAGTTTTTGCATCAAATTTCAGAAGAAAACAATGAAAAGGCTTCGAATTACTTGAATTTGAAAATGTGATTATTACAGTTTCTTTATTCATATGGACAACTTGTTCGATGGTAATAAAGAAATAACGGACAGCGTTAACGAAGTGATTAATGCTAATTGGCGCGATGTCTATTCGGCATTAAGCGATAATATCAATCGCAGTCTTGCTCAAGGAATGCTTGGTATATTAAGGAATGTTGCTGCCTCTTTAGCTTACGATGATATTTATTTAAAATAAATGTTTTATTAAAAAAATATTCGTTTGCCTACGGTTTAGAAAATTTTACTTTTTGTTTTTTCAAAATTTTGCAAACTCCTTATGTCCAGATATATGTACATAGGGTGCTTATTACAGACTCTTTAATGAATTGTTAAGTGAAATAAGAAATTCATATCACACTGCCCGCCTCTGGGACAATCTAGTAGTAGTGGTCTTTCCCATCGTGCCTGATGTTCCACTTTTAACACAAGCACTACTCGCTCTTTCCTAACCTTCTCTTTCAACAATTCTTCTTGATCGTGATCATCCTCGCACGTATCTGCGGCATCCCCTAAATGCCTGGTTAAAGCAAAAAAAAAAAAAAAGTTTCGGTTCCCATTGACCTGTGGGAACGTTTTGCTTACGTTCACACAATCAGCACAATTCCGTACATTGCATAATCTAATGAAGTTACAATCTATTATGTAAGCATTGCGTAAGCTTTGTATTCAGTTGAAGATATCGCCGGGGGTTATTCTTTGTGAGCGCTATCGGTTTCAAGTTGCCTCATGCATATAGGGAGGGCGTATTTGGGACGATATTGGCGGTGGTAAATCCTGGACATACTCATAAAGTTAGATTTTTCTGATAGGGTGTAGCGTCCTTTAAATCTTATCAAAAAACGACTTCAATCTGAAACTCAGAAAAAATTTATATAGTTTATGGGATGTTTGAAGGTTGCTTTTGCGCATTAAATAGTTGTTGCAAAAGAAACTAAGTTTTGGTACACTATAGTATTGGATAGTTGTGCTCAATTTTCCTCGTTTTTGTATACCCTCGCCTGTAGAAGATACGTTCAAATTTTAGTAGATTTGTCGGCTGTAGTTTACGAGTAATGGTCGGCTTACGTAGTACTGTAGGCGCGCCCTTTGATTGATTTGGACGATTTTCAATTCCCATCTGTTAGAACTTCCTCTGTTTCTGATAAATTTGAAATCGATATCTTATTTTTTTGTGGCCAGGAGAACGCTTGCACAGACGGACAGAGGGACATGCTTGGTCGATTCAGAGTTTAGTGCTGATCAAGAATATGTAAAATTTGTGAATATATGCCTCATCTTTCGGTGATGGATATAAAAAAGAATAGTTAGCTAGTGCGGTAGCCGACTATCAAGTTTCGTTTCGTGTTCAGTCTTGTATTCTATCGGAGACCCTTGTTGGTTAATGTCCAACAAACGATCGTTAATTTGTCGACTAGAAAGCGAAGCATTATTAGTATCCAATATTCCTAAGTGGAAATAGGCTAACCATCGGTATGCTGCTAATCTTGAGAGAGTAACTTCACCTAAAACACCATAAGTTTTTTCACAAGAGAATTATGATTTTTTATGGTTTTTCACTATTGCTATGATTTTCTTCTTTATTCACACGCATATGCATTGCCAACTTTCACACAGGATAGGGTTAGTGTTGCCAAAGTGAAAGCTTTTCTAAACTTATCTTTTGGAGAGAGCGCCATGAACTTTTTCCACCACAAGCGAGAGAGTTCAAAATAAACAAAGAAAAATTTGCAAGAAAACATTTGTACGCATGTTTAGTGCAATAGCACACCATCTACTTAGGCGGGTCACGGAAAAATGAATAGCATTAAATCGATGCAAAAGCGGATAGTGGAAAATTAAAAATTACGTTTTAAGAACAACATCGTTAAGACGTGTGAAATAGAGTAAATTTGCAAACGGGTAAGGAATCTGGTAACGAAATTAGATTATAAATATGATAGTTTCTTAAAGAGAAGAGATAGTTCGCACAAACCGAATATAGCCAGAACTACCAGTGACGTAATATATGATTAATGTACATGACCGATTGCAATGTTATAAACCCAACCATTTCGTTATATATATAGAAAAGCCATAGGAGGGAAATTTAAAAATCAATGAACTGAAACTGAAGGTGTTATTAAAATCAGAGTACACATCGCTCGTAGGCGAATTACTAGAAAAAGTCTTGATTAAAACGTATGAGCTTTTAAAGCTGAGTGTTACCTAATCTATCATGCAAAAGGGCAAACTACGACATAGTCAAGCCGTGATTAAATAACTCAACTCTATCAAGTCGGCACACATAATTTCAATCTTCAGCGGGCGGTAGAACATCCTTTAATTAGGATTCGTGTGTGATCGTAGCTAGAGTGAGTATTCAATTGGTAAAAGCATAACACTTGCCGATCCGACAACACAGCTCCTAGACGGTGACCGCTCTCCATCTATCTCTTACCTGAATAGTTGGTTATGTAAGAAGAAGAAGAAGTAAAACGTGCGAAAGCCATTTGACCACAATTCAAAAGCAGTATGTTCCCGATTAATGACGTTCTATTTTTATAAATAAATGCGCTTTACTAATGTTTTCTTAGAAAGCAGTCTATCTCGAATTTATAATTTCCTATATAATATAATTAGTTTATAGCACATAATAAGTACATTGATTTTATAATAATATAATTAGCAGATAATTGAATGTGTGTAATTAATTTCACTATTGTCACGAGTCGTTAAAAGCGTTAAACGCACATTACTTTCCCAACTGTGAACGAGATAAGGTTCAGTTTAAGAACAGCGCTCTAAGTTTCATTTCTTGAATTTTTTTAAAATGTTGAAAATCGCCTATTACTTGTCGGGAGTTCTTATGCTGAGTAGCATTTGCGAAATATTTTGCGCAATATTGCGTAAGTTCATACGATTCGTTAAAGTCTAAACTACACGGACAAAATATTAGAATTTATTTAGAAACGTAAATTTTTTCCGACTTTTCAGCTTCAAATATACCGAAATGTAAAATTTCTGATAATGCTTGCGTAGCCGCCTCAATAAATGAAGTCTTTCGTCTTTATCCGAAAGGATCGCCAGCATTTGGTCTGGACGATATATCGCGTATAACTGTGCCTGAGATGGTTCTAGGAGATGGTAACGGTCAGCCTTCGAGCGCACAATTGACAGTAAAATTCGAAAATTTGATTTTTACTGGTGTAGAGAAATCAGTTTGCCTGAACGTATCTGGATTTGAGCCAGAAACAACACGAGTTGAAGTGAATTTAATTATTCCGCTTTTAAAAATCAAAGCTGATCATGCTGTAAATGGGAAAATTTTACTTTTTACTCTAAAAGGCAAAGGCAAATCTGAGATACATTTAAAGGATGTCGATATTAAGCTTACGGTCGACGTAGATTTTGAAAAAAGAGAGAATCAAACTTTTGTTATAATAAAGGATATGATTGTTAGTTTTGAACCGAAAAAGTAAGTTGATGCTTGAAATGATTAATATTTACTATCGTTTATTTGTATTTGTATGTATTGTGTTAACTATTGTTTATCTGTATTTGTGCAGCTTTTATATACATTTGGATAATTTATTTGACGGTAACAAAGAGCTTACGGACAGCGTTAACGACGTAATCAATGAGAACTGGCGTGACATTTTTCATTCATTACAAGATGCTATTAGCCAAGCTTATTACGATGCACTTAAGCCACTTTTAGAAAAAATTTTTAAAGTATTACCGTACGACGAATTTTATAAGAATTAAAGTTGTAATTATAAAATAATGAGTTTTCGCCAAGTGGAAAATAAATCATTCCATGTATACAAAAATTTTTTAATTTAATATAAAGATGTTTTTTATGCGGTGGAATCGGGAAGGTACACCTACTTTGTCCAGTAAAAATCGGTAAAATTATTGTTTTTATCAAATTCTGAATATGCTCGAATTCTTATCAAGAAATATTGACAATTACATCTTTTTACCCCCTAAAGATTCAATTGCCATACGAACGTTTATATAGTAGGTGGTCCAAAAAATTACACCACCGGTAGCAAAGTTTTCATTCTTATAAGGAACGTCCAAATTCTATTACTCGGAAATTTTTACCGGCAAATTCTGAAAATTGGAGTATTTTGTTATATAACTGCTAACAGGAAAAGTGGGCCGACCTGAACCATTGTCAATAGCGTTCCTCCTTGGGCCGAGATTATGACCCATAGATTGAACTCAAAAATACATAGACAAATATCAAACGGACGGACGGACGGACAGACAAGCTTAGGAACACTTTCTGAATCGATCACTCGAGCCTGTCTCAACTCCTTCTGGATGTTACATAGGTCCGCAGCAACTTAATATAACCAAGGGGTATACAACAATATACGACAAAGGATTAATAATTATTCTATAATTAGAAAAATTCGTTTCTAAATAATTTAAAAATTTTACTTTTGAGATGCGTTTCATTACTTGCCTTACGTACGTATAAAAGTTTATAGAAAAAATATTTGTAATTTCGTGTCTATATGTTATCTGTATTTGTAGTAATTCATGGAGCCTTTAAGAAAATGTAATGAGAGAGAAAATTTTATTACTAAAATAATTTATGATTTAAAGTAAAATTTTGCAAATTTTGTAAATTTTCCTGTCGCACATTCACAATAGCTTAACTTGGTAAGATAATTGCTGTACATTGGCGCATTAAAAGAAATGCTTACGCGTTTGCTCCGAGTATGATAGAGAAATTGTTGTTTTAGTATAATTGAATAAATTGATAATAATTTATATAATTAATCACACATTCATCTAAATGCCATGTACGCGAACACTTCCCTGGAACAACTTGAATTTATTATTTTATATATGTAAGAGTTGGTGATGTGCAATAAATATTAATATACTTAAGTGTGCGTCTTTGTACACCTGCATATGAACAAAGTTATGAACAAAGATAAACACTTTGTGAATTATCCTATGGTTAACCACATCAACTTATAGGTAAAACAATCCATATAAGCTTATCCGTAATTTATTTTATACAACAAAACAAATCAACTGTATTAACTTAGTGGTTAATCTCTCTCCATAAATTGATGTACTCGGGGAAAGTAAAATTACGATAACAAAAAAACTGCATTTGACTTAAGGTGAGCTTTAAGGCATTACAAAGGCTTGCAGCAGTGTGATAGCCTACGGTTTGGTCTTTTTTTTTGCTTTCAATGGCAAAGGGCAATAACACAATAATATATATCCAAGCAGGCAATTAATCATGTATTCAGATCCATGCAGAAAGTGATTTTGATTGGTCGGTGTAACTGAAGATGAGCTTATTTTAACCCATCCGCACGCACTCAATATATCCTTGTACCATATGTATTGTGTGGTATAAAAAAAAAGAAAAACAATTATATTAGAAAAGCATTAAAAAATGGCGACGGGGACATTCTTTACGTGGGACGGCCTTAATTTGAGGATTCAAGGAGAGTTTAGGTTAACCTAAAACATTCCTTTTCGGCTATTAATTTCGTAGAAACAACAATTACAAAGTGTCGTAGAATGTTGTATGAATTTTTTCAATAATTGTCACCTAATTATAGGTCCACTTACCTCCAATCGATCTAGACTTTTTCAGCTCAAATATAGATAGCTTGTGGTTTAAGAGTAAATTAACGTTGCGCGGTTGGTACAACACCCAAAAGGACTTGAGCCGGATCTACTTGCTATTAAGCATGTCCGTTTGTCCGTCCGTCTTGCAGTAGGTCACAAATTTTTGAGATAGTCTGACGAACACATTTGGCATATCGATGTGTTTTGGCCCATGATAGTACGTTATTAATAAAGGTTCAGATCGTATCGTCTTTCAGACAACTTTCTATATAACGCCTTATTTTGAAGAGGCATTGATTCATACAATGCGCATTAAGCGCACGGGTCTAGGGTGTATAACGGTAGCCCTGTGTGCCACCATAGTATTTGTACATCTTCTCTACTAAGTGAGTAAGCGATTTCATGTGCTTTTTTATCTAAGCAATTGAGCATAGTCTTTAAATAGTTACCTTCCGATATTTATTGTCCTCTTAATGTGAGTATAAAAATTCGTTTTTATACAATATTTCTATGTATTTTTTTTTTTTTTTTTTGCATGATTCCTATTTCATCTTCCACAGTGCTTATAATGGGCAAAAGATACAATTTTTCATCATTAAAACGATTAGTTGCGCGTATCATTTGATATTTTTTTAAATTCGTTAATCGTTTGGTTCGATATCCGCGCTCTTCGCTATTTCTTTTTTAAGCTATGATGGGTGGTACTTGAAAGTCAAGTTTTGTTCAAATATTCGAGTCAGTCATACGACTATGCAATTGTCGACTTCTACTGTTTCCAGTTCATGTTCATGTATCTAATATCCGTACCTTAAGTAAAGACATGTACATGAGATGCATAGTAAGTTAGAATCTAACTCGTATAGCATACGGAATGCAGAATGGTTTCCATTTACTGTCACTACGTTTTTTTACTAAATGAAACACTTTTATCTTTGCTTTGTTTCGAATTTCTCCTCAATTTTACAATTTCAAAAGTTGTAAAATAAATTTCTATTTAGGACACCTTAACTTTTCAAAAACATTCTTTTGCTACTAATTGTCCACATATCAATTTGGCAATTAAACTTGAAAAGAGAAAGCGAAAGAGAAAGGAAAAGGGTAAAATAAAGAACACAGATTGCGCACAGAGGCCACTTTCTCTGGCATTTACAAAGGTATCGCATGGCAACATACGGACAAGTTAAGTGCCAAACATGCACATATGCGGTGAGTATGTGCTTACGAAAAACTTTCCTGTAAACTTAGTCTTATATACATGTGTCTGTGCATGTGTGTGTGTGCACATTTGTTTACTTTAGTAAAACCATCATCTGTAAGTAACAATTTACAAAAGCAGCAAAGGTAACTTTGTATGGAACAAAGTAAATACAATTCTTAAATAAAAATGTAAAAAGTGTTTCAAAACAAAATCTTCAAGTCTTTAGATTTTTTCTAAGTAAGCAAGTGAAAAATGCAGAATGCTTTCTTCTTCCTGTCAATTCATTTTTTTTATTTTTAAGTTCAAACCTTGCAACAACCGATTTTATGAAGCATTCAAGCATTATACTGTATATCAGTATACTGATATAAGCTTATGTCTCGGTATCCAAGCAAGCACAGGTAGATGATGGACTTGAACATTATAGTTGGCTTAACGGATAAGATGCATTTAACAGCATATGGAAAAGCAATGCAATATGACCTCAGGCTTTCGATGTTGCTTGGTTTATATTACTTCTATTTGCTTCAGGAATACAACATACGTACATTCTTGTGGATCATCGTGATGATAATGATGATGATGATGATGATGATGATGATGATGATGATGATGATGAGGTTGAAATTATCTCAATGCCTACCAAACGTGGTAATCGGTTTTTAATGTATGGACGAGTTTATTGCATCAACGATTTAACCACATATGTTGAAATCGAATGTTCTAATGGAGAGATGCTGCTGCGCGACCATACTTACTAACCAAAGTTAAGAAGGATTAGATTACTCTGATCTCATTAGTATTAACAAATGGTATAAAGGACATGTTGGCTACAGTCTGGTTGCTTTCTTTTGTTTCATTTTTTCTTCTTTTTTTTCTCTCTTCTTCATATGCTCTCATGTGTCAGTACATAACTGTACAGATGCGTGTACAAGCATACAAAATACATAATCATCAATGTGTTGTTGGCACCGATGACAACAATACTATTTCTATCTTAGGTTAGTGTACTTATTATATATCTACTGTAAACATGAATGAATGAAAAGTCCATAGACATATCTACGTATGGCTATTTATAAAATCCGAGATAACCACACGTACACATTTCAGTACAACTTGTGGATGAATAGATTTGTCTTTTCATATATATATATATATATATATATATACAAAGTATATACACCTACGAGTGTGCAGGAGAGTGTAAAGTTTGGTTATATGTGCCTATATGTTCGTGTATACGCGCGTGTGTACATGTTGTTGTCATTGATGATGCTACTTTCATGTTGCTGGCATTGTTGGGGTTTTCATTGTAGTTGCTTTTGCTATTGCCGTTGTTGTTCTTGTCACAATTACTGCTCACATACACGTACATACGTAACCGGACGTTGCCTCTTTTTCTTATTTCTCGTTAGGTTTTGTGCTCTGTCATTTGCAAATAATAACTCACAGCATGTAGATTGTATACCTTCAACAACATGCACGGAGATGCATACATGCTTATGCAACTATGAAAATGTCTATGCAATATATATGCAATATATATATATATGTATATATATATGCAACGATCCAGAGTATAACCGCAACATGAATATAAAAGTTTGTCGGTTTCAGTTCCATTCTTGATTTAATATCACTTAAACAGAGTCGAGCTTTTTCATTAAAATATCTAAAATGCATATTTCGTATATTATCGTATTAATTAAACGTAAATTTTAAACAAAACCAAACAAACAAATGCATAGCAAGAGCTATGAGATGTCAAAAAAAGATTCAATTGATGACAAAAGCATTATCATAAACCGCTGTGTCATTGTATATTCAAAACAATATAATAACAATAATAATAATAATATTAAGATTTATTATTTTTTGCGAAGGGTGGGGGCAGGAACATGTGATTATCCTTAAACTTTAACATTTCATGTTGCGATGATTATTATATGCGTCTATATATTTGAAGGATAATAAAAGCACCTTCTGCTTAGGTACAAAGATTCGTGTCACGTCCTAATTCCTGCAACATTCTTGAACGTATGCCAGAACGTACATAATATATACACGTATATATATTGTAATACATATTGGGCAACAAACACCACCAACGAGTATAAGCAAGAAATTTCAAAAACACATTACCGGAATTCTTAATAATTATTGTACAAATTTTATTGTCAATGAAAGAATTGTCGACGATTTCGCAACATCACAACGTGAGGGCAATATCAAGTCTTCTGTACCTATTACATTCCAGAATGATCAAATGCTGCACATGTCTTAATCAATTTTAAACTACAGCTGCCGGTGGACTTGCTTATGCTCTAAACCAGCCTAAAATGTTGGCTCAAATCAGCTGCAAATAGATTTCTAAGTTCTGAGATGACCCTTGCAAGTTAAGTTTTGCACACTTGTAACCTTCATCCTCTAGTGCAACCCTTGATCGATCTCCATCATAAAATACCAAAAATCGTTTCTTGCCTTGCTCTCCGCGAATCCGAGAAATAGACTTATATGGATCAAGCTTATTACATTGAATTTATATGTCAAGGCGCTACTTTACAACCATTATCATCGTAATATTCTTAAAATATGTCCGCACGTATAAGACACTCCCCTGAGTGTCATGCAAAAAAAAAAAAAGTTCCTTTTGCCCTGTAAAGGCTAAAAATAATGCCGTCCCGTCCAAATTTTCCATGTTCGTATACTCTTCAGAATTTCTATTTATTAGCGATTTTTGTCTAGACACATTTAAAAACACAATACTTTACAACGGCCTACAGTTATCCATATACCGAATTTTAATAAAAAGCCTTATACAAGGAGTAGTCGAAAAAGTGGCCCCATCTGAAGCATTTTCAATAGCGTTCGCTTTTGGATCAAAACACGTCAGTATTACAGACTTCATTAAAATATATCAAATATTGAGGCCTATAAGTTCAACAGACGGTCCTACACTCGGCTCAATGCGTTTATTTATATAACTGTTTTCCAAAAGAGTGTGACGTAAGGCGAAGCGGTCGAAAACATTTCATGCTGTCTGTCTTGTATCCCTGTGTTCAAAATATAGATCACAAATTTTCGAGATGTTTTGATCAACAAATTTGTTACACCGATGTGTTTGACAAATCGAGACATCCTATTAAAAATAATTCGAATTGGCCCACGTGGTCAGCCACGTCTTATATCCGTCGCCTTATTATGAAAAGTCGTAATTCGAATAACTATGTTAAGCAAGGTGGTTTAGGGTATTTAAAGATGGGCCGTGTCCCACCGTGTTTTTACTTCTTTCCTCTGGTTTTCTTTTCAAGCTAATACTGTGACCAAAATATATAATGAATTTTTTTACAAAACGAAAAATTTTTATTTATTGGTACCGACCACTGTCGTCGCCTTCATAAAATTCAAATTATGATCTTCACTATCAGTTTGGGCCGGGGCAACGTAGTGCCCAACACCACCATAAGCGACACATTATTAGCTTAAATGCGCAGATCCTTGTCTATCATGATAGTCTGGAACTATTTGTAAAAACACGTGTAACACTACAGCAGCTGAGTATGCTAACATGGAACTCCACATAGATGTCAAAGATAATAGTACAAACATACAGAAAAAAAAGTTTCATCGTCTGATTCACCTTTATGTTTTGGGCACAGTAATATGTAGTGAAAGTTGATCGTGTTTTATTTCGGCATTTCATCTTTTAAAACTTGGCTGCCGCTTAACCATAGGAGAGTACTTCAAGAAGATTATAAACCTGCAAGCTGCGGGATTTCGCTCCCAGTCATAACAATATACCTCTGAAAAGTAAACATTGCAACAAATGTATATAAGAAACTTGCGATTAACCGGCTGCTAACAAGTCAACTCGGCTTAAAATCTCCTTGATAGAAGACTTGTATATTGAATATGCAGGAATTCGGGTCTTGGATAAGAAGAAATCTTCAAGAGTTTCTAACTTGTTTCTTATTAAATTTTATTCGTCTGTTCTTAAAACAGGTCAACATATATATTCCTAAAAAAGTGTGTACCATAAATAAATATTTCTATTAAAAAACATTTGTCGATATATAAAATAAAATAATAATTATATATTTATCTATATATATATATATATATATATATATATATATATATTTATAATATGTATATATATTTATATATGCCATAAATTGCAAAAATTAAATAAAGTTCGAAAATAGCTCTCAAATATGAAACAAAAAAGCTTTTATTATATGAATGCATGCGCGAAGCTGTTGTTTTTGGAATATAAACGAGTACAACGAGTCTTTGCTTAGTTATTGGCTAAAAGCTTTCTTGAAGACATTCCGGAAAATCAAATAAATGATCTTCAGATAAAAACCGATTGATTTTGTGCTCCCGTTAACTAAATTCAGATCTCTTTATCGCCATCAAATGGTATAAATACGAGATCTTTTTACTTAAGTAAGCTACAGTTTAACTAACGCTTCTTCACAGAATAGGAAAATCAGAAATATTTAAAAAAATAAATCATTATGCGTACCTTTGCGGTAAGTGATGATTTTAATCCACTGCTAGTATAAAGTTAAGGGAAATTGCGTAATGTTTCCTTTTCCAGCTGTTGTGTTTAGTAGCTGCGGCTTGGGCTGATAAATTAGGCTACAATTATCATCCGGTTGCCCATTCGGATAGTGGTCTCTCCTTTTCGCCAGGCTCATTGGGCGGCGGTAGTTTACATGGCGGTAATTTGCATGGCGCTTCTCTTGGTGAAAGTTACAGCAGCGGTGGTTATAGCGGCGGTAGTTATAGCGCCGGTAGTTACAGCGCTGGTAGTCTTGGCGGCTTAGGTGAAGGTTATAGCGGGGCAGCTTACTCTGGCGGCTTAAGCGGCGGTGTTAGCGGTGGTTATGCTGGTGATTTTGCGGTAGGAAGTTCGGGCGGTGGCCTGTCTTCAGGTGTTGCGTATGATGCTTCTGGGTATCAACATGCTGAATACGAAAAAGAATTTTACACATTTACTGCACCCGAACATGAGTTCAACGATCATCATAATTTGCACAAGCATATCAACACCGTGAAGAAAGGTGTCCGTGTCATTTTTATTAAAGGACCTGAAAATGACGGTCTAGAAGAGGCTGCTGCAAATCTCGCAAAATCTGCTATTGAACAGAAGACCGCTATCTATGTTCTTAACAAGAAGGCTGATCTTTCTGGCTTGGCTGACAAATTGAATACACTTAACACTAATATTAATCATAAACCCGAAGTTCATTTCGTTAAATATCGTACTAAGGAAGATGCTGAAAATGCCAAGAAGACTATTCAAAGCCAATATGAATCTTTGGGCGGTCACTCTGCAAATTATGATGGCGGTGAGACACACGTTCTAAATTTCGCTTCACAAGAACCCGAACATGTTCATACTGCCGCTGTTGTTAGCTCACCTGAAGCTGCTTACTTGCCTTCTTCTATTATTAAAAAAACGAAGTAAATACACAGAAAAGTTAATACATTGTTAGAAAATGTTGTGATGAAATGACTGATTTTTCATTTTTTTTTTTCTTTTCCTCGATCACTGTAAATATTTAATGAAATAAAAAATGAAGTAAGAATAGTGTAAATAGTTAGGCTTTACTACTATTAATGATTTTACGAAGTAAATGTAAAAGAGAAGGATTCCTACGTCAAAATTTTTGATGGTTTACTTTGCCTGGCTCGGTCAAATCGTCTAGTAACGAGATTAATGTTTGACTTATGTGCCTTTTTTTGAAAAGCATTCGCGTTCAGCAACGACGCCATGAAATAAATATCTCTTATCGGTGGACTTTAAATAATAGCCGATAGCTAGCCCCTAAGAACCGTTGAAAGATGTAATGTCAATGGTCGACAAAAGCAGTAAATTTGCAATAATGATATCTAAAGATACAGAAGCGAATTTTTCAATCCAGGGCGACTTTAGTTCCAGTGGAATTCTTCTTTTTTAGCATTATATTGTTCGCACAAAAATAACATGACTATTGATTATTATTAATTGATTTTGAATTGACGTCATAAGCCTGCAATTATACTGTTCGTGTTACCCTATAAGATATAGCATAATATAGTAGTGATAGCATAGTTGCAAGGTCAACAACTTTAGATTCATAAATGATCATAACGGCAGTATATGAATATTAATTAAATCGATCCGCGGGCATTATATTTATTTAGAAGAAGCATAAATTATTGTAGTTTGTTTCTTTTAGATTGTTTACCTATTTTTTTAATAAAATCAAAACAAGTTTTTTGTCTTCTTTTCTTCCAAATTTTTAATACAACATTTTGATGAGATCTGCTTCCTATTTTCTACAATGTGTTAGAGTTATTATTAATCAATTTTTGTGTGCCCACCTACAGAAGAAAGGAGTGTGGTGTCTTTCTTATACTTTTTGTAACAACCAGGATTATTTTTGTCGACCTCCTTTGACCATATTTTCTACAGGAATGCGTAAGGAACTGAAACAGGCTAAAAGTTTTCTATAACGATTGAATTTTATTCTAACTAAATCCCAAACTCGTTTCATGCATTGTATACCAGTCATAAATGATATATTTCAAGTCGAAAATTAATTATATACATCGAATTCTTTTTTTACACGGTAGTTTTTTGTCACATTTTGAAATAGCACGACTAAACGATAATAAAAAATACACTATTTTGATTCTTTTGTCTTACAGAAATAAAATGTAATTGCGGGGGGCAATACCGTGATCAGAAGTGATTCGATTTAAGCCTGTTAATGCTTTGATTTATTACTCACTAACGAAATTCCTCACTTGAATCGACATATTTACTGATGATAGCATTTTTGGCCCAGTCTATAATAAACGTACACGCTTGTTAAAAAGTAGCGATGAATAATTTCGAAACTAATTTTTATTTCCAATTTCAATTTGACTTGTCATATGTAGCATGTATGAACTGGATTCTCTAATTTTAATCTCCTTTTTTCCAACAAAAATTAATGGTTTTCGGTTTGTAAAAATGTATAATGTGAATTTCAGTATTACTTTTTTTGCACGGTTTTTTCGAAAAATATTTGTGATTTTTCATCGTACACGATCCCCAAATTTAACATATGTCGCATGTAATTATTTACATTACATTTTTTATTTGCACGATTTTTTAAGCAACATATGTACCGTGTAAAAAGAGGGTTAGATGTACGTAAAGAGAATACCATGTGATAGAAATCAAGTGTGAAAAGTAAGGAACTTTCCGCCCAACGGGTATCGGGTTTAACAAATAGATAACTTAAAACAAAAAAACACGTATATTAAAAAGTGTTATAAGAAAACAACCTAGTTATACTCTAAATTAGCATGATATCTTAAGTTGTGCGGTCATCACTTTCGTTTATTTATACAAAAATCGCTCCTCCTCTCCGTTTCAAATTTCATAGTTGTTGTTTTTATTATTTATTATTAATCCGATAATGTATACATATGTTTATATATATATAGGTAGGCATGCATAAATGTGTATACGATTTAAAGGGCATAAAAGATTAGTTAAGAGCTGCCATAAATTATCTATTTTATTTCACGCTTCGATGTAACACGAGACATAACAACGTAATAAAATCGCCAGCACTAAAAGCAATTCAAGGTTAATGCTTACCTTCTTATGAACAAAAAAAATTATTAAATACCCATTCTCATGTGTTCCTTTGCATTTCATATTAACAGATCAAAAAATTTTAATCATACTATAATAAAATTCGGAATAGTTTTCTTTCTTTATGCTTAATGATGCAGAAAAGTTGTTTACAGAATGCATTCAAATTTTCAAATTACCGATGAAGAAGAAGGGAAAAAAAACGGCATTTAGGGGTGATTTCTCTCAAACATCTCCCTACTTATAATTAACATGGGCTAAAAGCAAGCAAGAACATTATAGTCGGACAAGGCCAACAATTAGATATCCTACAAATTTCATGCAAAAGCATGCTTTACATGGAAGTCCGCACATTGGACGGTGACGTAATCCATATCTAACAAATAGGCGCTCTCTGCGCATAGAAGCTTGCTCTCTAAATTTGTTAGGGTCTTAAAAATAGGCCTATATCATCCGAATTGCCTGCCGTTAATTTTTTTACTAAATTGCTAACAATTTGCATCATAAAATATTAAAAATTAATTGTTTTCCGAAGGGCTTGCTATTCTTGAGAAATATTGTACGAAGTAGCGTCAAATCTGACCCACTTCATTTATATGACAAATTATTATCGTGACCGCATTAACAATTCAACGAAACGAATTTTCACCATAATATGTCGAAGATTAGACCTCTTTACATAAAGCTTTAGCTTTCGTGTGAAAGCTTATGTAAAAAGAGGGCCAAAAAATTACTCCAAGCGGACGAAATTTTACTACAACTCAGCGACGTTTGTTGTGAAATTTTGTAAATTGCAGTCACGTTCAGCGGTCAAAAAAGTTGATCGACCTAAACCATTTTCGATAGCGTTCGCCCTTGCTTGCTTAAAAGCACATAAGTGTACAAACTTTTATTACAATATCTTAAGAATTGCGATCTCTTGGTTGAACAGAAAAATACATGAACAGACATTAGACGGACGGACGGACAGGCAAGTTTAGATTGATTCAAACAGTGTTTCTGAATCGATCGATGTAATTTTGAGCCTTTCTAGATGCCACATACATGTTCACACAATTTAATACTCCCTGTACCAGGTAGGGTATAACGAACTCTTTTCTCTTAATTAAACCCATTGTTTTGTCCCTGCGACATATTGCAGTCAGATTGGAATGAGAGATCAAGGGTTTCTTTTGAAGTAATCGATAAACACTTTTTTTTGAATGAAGAAAAATATATAATGAAAGGAATGATAAAACACTTGTAATAAAATATTATTGGATATGATTTATAGGAAACAAAGATTATCAGCGAGCAAAAATAAAGTTCATAAAATGTAAGATAATGGAAAAGCAACGGAAGTGCATAAAGGAAAGCCAAAAAAAATTCCCAAATATAAATAATCATAAATTTATGTAAGAAGTAAACAAATTTAAAGTGATAAACTTCTTTACAACATTTCGAATTTCTTTCTTGGATATTTCGTAAAGCAAGCTTCTTCAACATTCACCAACTCATGAAGTATGACAGTTTTATTCTCCCAACTCCAATTACTTTAAAGAAACTTGGAAAATGAGTATATGCCTTTGCTCTTTGCTGCATCTATCATTTTCTGAACTTTCAGAAACTACAAAAAAAACAGTTATGTTATTCTTCTTTTTTATTAAGCACAATTTTGCCAAATTTGTTAAGAGTGTTTTTCTTATGGATGATTTCATATTTTCCAACAATTTAACAAACATCACAGAGAAATGCAAAAGAGAGCGACTAGAGTACAAAAATTTTCTAATCGTGGTACTATTTTATTTGTGTACAGAGCTTGCGTAAATATTTTAACCATTCTGCAGAAGCATAAAAGCCGTCATTTCTTTGGCGTCTTAGTTTTGAAGAGTAGCAGCGCACTCATATCCCCTAATCGTGTATCACAATATCGGCCGGGAAGTAGTGGGTAATGACAAAAACATAGAAAGATAGAAGCCCCACCCTAGATGCTGTATGCTCTATCGACTGAACGCCAACTACAGTTACGTGCGAAAAAATCTTCCGCACCAAGATTTGAGTTCGGGAACTCTAGCTTGGTGTCCGCAATTCTTATGTACGCAGGTACTCAGCCTTTTTAGGCTTTGTGGCCTTCTTACTGGAGATTTAAAACTATTTCGCTTGATTTTGGTTTTTAAATGGACTTTCTCTTTCCGCCTACACCTGTATACCTGCATCAACATAAGCAAGAAGTTTTCGGAAAAGTGTAACCTGCGGCCTTCTTTCTAGCTCGTGAGGTTCAAAAACAATTCTGAAAAGCTTCAAGATTTAGTTGTGTTTTATGTCTTTGAGGCGCACCAATCACTTACTGCCACCAAGACATGGCCTAGGCTGAAAAACTGCCCTCTGCTCTTCTTTGTCCCTACCATCCTTTAAATACTCTCTCAGGTAAATGCTTTTCTGATATCACCAACATTTTGGTAATTGGACCTAAAAGCTTTCGTTAGGACCAGTTCTTATGATAAGTGAACCTTTACCCCCTTTAAACTGGGGAAAAAAATGAGTAAACACTTCATTGGACCATTGGGCATCCTTATCTACTATGCACGCTAGATGAACGGTTCTTTAAAATCTCGTCAAATCTTATATAGAAACCTGATAGCATTTTGTGTAGCATAAATATTTAAAAATATATATGTAAACAAGATAAATGTCGTAACCAACTCTACGGTTCCTTTGCAATGTACTTTAAGTTAATGTAAAAACACAACTAAAAAAAATTAATGTCAACAATATCTAAAAGTTGTTGTGCGGTTTAAAACAGAGCTTCTCTTCCTCAAACGTAAACTAAAAACTTATTTGGAAAATTACTTCAACAAATTAGTTTACAATAACTTAAAACTTTATATAGATTGTTATGGTGGGAGTTTACTGCGTGTATTGTAACACAAAATAATTACAAAATTTCTGCACACTTAGAAGCAATGTATAGGATAACACAATACTTTGTTGCTAGTTAGTCAACTAAAT